GTAGTTTCATGGTAGAGAGCCCCACCAGGTCCTGGTTCAGTTCCCAGCACTGCAATCAATCAATCAAATCAATCAATCATCAGTCTGTCAGTATCGGTTCATGAATGTGGGCAGTTGTGCAAAGCTGTCACGAGGAGCCAAAAGATGTGAGTTCTAACCCTGCTTTCGATATCTGTGCCTTGACATCGAGCAGTTCCCAGGATCTCTCTTCTGTTGTTTCTACAGAAGAGAATTCCTGTGTTAGAGATTAGCGAGTGCTGAAAGAATGTGTGTGAAATAAGCTTTCAGCCCACAAGGGGCCACCGTTTGACTTGCAGGTGTCCAGCGCCATCAGAGACTGTGTACAGTGGTAACTGAGACCCTTCTGAAGGGACTGTTGTAAGAGACATATTTAAATTAGTGTTAGAACAGTGCCAGTCACCTGCTAAGTACTCACTGAGATTTAGCTGTTGCTATTATTAGTGATGTCAACCAAGTTTTTTCCTCTCTTCTTATGGACTGCACAAATAGTGATTGCTAGGACTTTTAAAAACTTTCTGCTGGGGATTTATCTCAGCAGCACAAGCTCTTGTCCAGCAAGTTGCAAGGTCATGAGTTCAATCCCCAGTACCAAAAAAATAAAAATTAACTTTCATTTTCAGTAAAATTATAGATAGATAGATAGTTTTAAAAAGTCAAACAAACTGCTGTGGTTTGATGCCTATAATCGCAGCCCTCAGGAGGCTGAGACAGGAGAATCACAAATTCTAGATCAGCCTTGGCTGGACTACACAGCAGTTCCTTGCCTCAAAAATTAAATGACAACAGCACCATAACAAAGTGAAATAGGACTAAAGTCTTTGAAAAAACAGTACTCCCTTCAGCATCCTTTCCTGGGCTTCCTCTTCACAGGCTATGTATTTTTGATTTTTTTTTAAAGCTGTTTCTTCAGAGATTTACATCTAAATTTCTGAACATTCTTCATCCACCCCCTAGACAAGGTTTCACTATGCAGTCTAGGCTGGCCTGGAACTCACTGTTACCTGGTCTCTAACTCTTGATCCTCCTGTCTCAGTCTGCAAAGTGCTAGGATTGTAGGTGTATGCCACCATGCCCAGAAATATACTGCTGATTTTTTTTTTTTTAAGTATTGGTGCTGGAACCCAGGAGCACTTTACCACTGAGCTACATCCTTAACCCTTTATTTTGAGACAGGGTCTTGCTAAGTTGCCCGAGCTGTTTTCAAACTTTTGAATCCTCCTGCCTCTGCTAGGATTACAGAAATGTGTCACCTGACCTCTCCTTTTTATGGCTGATTTTTTTTTTTTCAAAACTGGGGCTCAGGGCCCTAACACTGTGATGCATCTCTGCCACTTTTTACATTTTTAAACTTTGAAACAGAGTTTCAAAAAGTTGTTAAATTGCTCAGGCTAGACTTGAACTTGGATCCTCCTGCCTTCATCTCTCAGAGTTCTGGAATAACAGGCGCGAGCTACCACACCAGATTTGACATTTTTTCCCCTTCCTTGGACAGGGTCTCATTGCATTGACCCATTTGCTTTCAAACTCATAACTTGTTGTACATGTGATTCTCCTATCTCAGCTTCCTAAAAAGCTAAGACTACAGAATGCAATACCACTGCTCCTGCCTGGCTAATCATTTTCATCTTGAGATTGGAGAAATATGGATTGATAGAATTAATCTCACTTTTTGGGAGTAGGGTGGGCAGATACTGGGAATTAAACCCCAGGCTTCATTCATGCTAAGCAAGCACTCTGCTACGAAAATATATCTAGCCTATAATCTGTCTTTTTTGACTGAAAATCCTAACTAGAATTTTAAGCTTAAGTGCAAAGTTTCCTCTTCATGTGGTTTGTCATGACTACCTCATGGCATGAGGGAGAAGGTGCTGTTGCAGAGACCTCCTGCCCAGGGCAGGAAAGCTAGCGTCATATTTGCTAAAACTGGCCATATTCAGGTTTACCTGCTGTCTGCCTCAGTTTCCTGGTCTGGATCACAGGTGACTGCTCTCCCAGGATTCCTCCAGCTGTGATATGCCAGGAACATGTGACTGCAAGTGCAAGAGAGATCACAGATGGGAAAGCCAGTTGGGGTCTACTTGCCCCTTCCATGTGAAATTAAGTTTTCAGAAAGGAAAACTAATGTAAAAATGAGAGCTTACATATGTGTAGTGTTCAACTCAGTGGAGAATTCAGGTTTCAATTACTGAATAGTTACCCCCACCAAAAAACTTGTACCCTCTAGTCACTTTACAGAACCAGAAAACACACCAGGCGTGGTGGTACTCATCTATGATCCCAGCATTCAGGTGGCAGAGTTAGATTCCAGTAATTTTTTGTGTGCATACATGTTCTGAGCACTATGCCAGATACATTTTTGTTTATTCCTGTTGTATACTACACCCTTGGAATGGAGGTGTCATCGTTGCCTTGTTCTATTCCCCGAGGCTCTAATTGCCTAAGGACACACAGCTGATCTGTTGCACGGTCAGTATTGGTACCTAGATCTCTTCAAACACTAATGATTTACTTATTTTTCCTTACTGGGTTTGCCTCAAATTGTGTAGAATAGTCTTACTATATATATTCTGGGCATAAAAGAGATGCTAAAATATAGTCACAGTTTATCACCAATTCTCTAAAGTTTCTGAACAGAATAAAGCACATTAACCCCTAGGGTAAATAATATCTCTGAAATTCTGCTTTACTGGAATTTAGCAGTTTTTTTTTTTTTTTTTTTTTTGGCTTTTTCCTTTTTTATCAGTACCAGAGATCAAACTCACGACTGCCTGCTTTACAAGGCAGGCGCTTATGCTGCTGAGCTAAATCCCCAGCCCCCAGGTTTTTGTCTTTTACCTGACTGGAAACTTGGTAAACCAAAGGTGAGACCAGCAGGGGGAGAAAAGAGACCAAGCTCCCGCATCTTGCCCAAATTGGCTTCACTGTTGGTGCAGGCTTGATTGAGCTGGGTAGGCTACGGGAGAGGGGTGCACTTAGAGGGGTGGTGCTTGTGGGTGCTGAGCACCCTCAGTTCAGGTGCAGACTATGGGCAGAACTTCAGTGCGTTGAGTGTGGTTAGTGAACTCTGGGAGCTATGTGGCTTTATGCTTCTCTCCTTGGCCATCTACATGTTACACAAAACTGACTCTTCAGACACTTAAAACAGGTGTTTGTGGCAATGTCAGGATGGTCTTTCTTTTACGTATTTACTATCTCATATGCTAAAAAGACCGCGAAAGTGATTTGAAGCTGTTAAATTTTTCCCTCAGGAACAGCTTGGCATTCTTAGTTCAAGAGGTTCATAAGCATGGTGAAGGCCACACTAGGGTTGACGATACGGTAGGGTGGGCTGACAACTGAGACAGCATTTGGCTGGCTGTGCCTGTTTTCTGCCCCACTGTGCCGATACCCTTCTTTCCTGTCTTTCCTGTAGTAGGATTACTTGTGGTTGGTCTCTGGGGAAGTTTTCCTAGTGGCGGGGTGGGGTAGCGGTGTTGTTGCACAAATTCTGCTTTTATAAGAGGCAGAGGTCTCATTTAGATTCAGAACTCTGCCAGCTTTTAAAATCTCCCTTTTACAAAGGCTCTGGTTATCGTTAAGTATTATTTCAATGGATGGAAGCTTGTCCCTGGAGTCCACGGATAAGGGAAGGAAAGACTTCAGAAGGGTGGCTTCTCAGCTAGGTTCTGGGCCTGTTCCACCACTCCGTGGTCTCTGATTTGCAAACTGAAAACCCCGGAAACCTTCAGGACGCTGGCGATCCTCTTCAATAGCAGAGCCAGAGAATACTCTGAGCGAGCACTGGAAGGGGTGGAAATAAGAAACAACCACAAAGGGCTGCAGTTAGGGTAGAACTGGACTGTGGGGTAGGCAGAGGGAGAGAGGAAAACCCAGCACAACAGGAGGCTCAGAATAGAAGATACAAAAGAAAGTGCCAACTACTGAAAATGCTGCAGAAAAATGAAGGGGCGATTGGGGAGCAGTTTAGAAAAATAGCAATTAGTACAGCTAAAAATAAAGGCCAATTTAGAGACAAAGCTAGACACACAAGCAGAAAAATAAAACTCGCCAGAAAGACAATTCCTTGCAAAGTAAATGTTCAAGAAATGGAGCTAATGACCCCCCCACCCCCACCCCGCGCCGCCGCCCCTTGGACTGTTTTGAAGAAATGACAGAGAAGGTTGGAGAAGGCGCTGAGCAGGTGACTGACAGGGCGACCGGAGAAACGAGCTAAGAGGCCGCTGGGACCCTCAAGGACTTTGGTCACTGAGCGGAAAGACCCCGCCTGAGGCTGCGCCCAAGTTAGAGAAGCGCCCTGGGCGCGCGGGCGTACAAAGCGGAGCCGGTCGGCGCTCGAACCGCAGAGATCCCGAATTCCTCGAGGTCCGCCCCGGGATCCGCAAGCTAAGGGCAGCAGGCGCCTGAGTTCTGGCGCCAGCGCGCAGCGGCCTGGAAAAGGGCGCCCACCCGCGGCGACTCCGTTCACTCCTCGCGGTCCCGCGGCCCGGGCCCTGGTGACGCCCCACTCGCGCTCGCGGCGAGGGAAGGCCCAGCGCCCACCAAGTGCGCGCGCGGGGAGTGGGGTGGGGCGGCCAGGTCCTGTGCGTGGGCGTCCCACATCCCCGGGGTGGGGAGGCTAAGGCCACGGGCAGCCCCGCGTACGGACTCAACGGTCACGCGAGGCCTCGGGCTCGCTCTGATCCGGAGGTGACCTCGGCCTGCCCGAGTCACCCGGCGCCGTGGGTCCGTGGCGCCGAGCCAGCTTCGGGCTGTGCTCAGAGGAGGGCGGGTGCCCAGCGCGGACGCAGGACTTGGAAACTGGCGGCATCTCGGCTCTGCCTGCCGCGTGCTCCGGTCCCCGGCGCGGGGCTGCAGGGGTCACCTGGGGCGGCCCCGCCCGGCCCCGCCCCGGCTGTCCGGGCGGGATCCAGAGCCCCTCGGGGAGCGCACGGGGAGGGCGCACGGAGCGCGCCACGCGGCGCCTCTCGGAGAGGGAGAGGGCGGCCGGCGGGGCCGGCGCGCTGGGGCGGCGCTGAGCGGACTCCTCCTCCCCACCCTCCTCCTCCTCCTTCTCCTCCTCCTCCTCGCCTTCCTCCGACTCGGCCGCTGCGCCGCCGGGCTGCGCCTCCTTCCTCCCCCGGGCGCCCGCGGCGATGTTTAACCGCGCCGTGAGCCGGCTGAGCAGGAAGCGGCCGCCGTCAGGTAAGCGGCTCCCGGGACCTGTAGGCCGCTAGTCGGGGCTCCGGGAGCGATCGAGGAGCCGCCCCGGCCGGCGCTGCCCGCTGGGCATCCTTTCCTCCCTGCTGCGCGCGGGCATGGGCGCGGGCGCGGCTCCGCGGTGCCGCCCCGACGGGAACCCAGGCCGCCTCGCCACTTCTCCATGCTGGGTTTCGCGCCCCGCTGTCCCAGCTGCGGCGGGAGCGCGGAGCTTTGAGAGACGCTCCGGGGAGGAAGTTTGGCTGAAAAGGGAACAATAACAGTTTTCTTTTTAGTGATGGTCTGGGCGAAAAAGGAGATCCAAAACACCCCCAAACTTTAGAGGTAGAGTGGGATCCAGAGTCTGAAAACCAGCGCCGGGCTGGTTTTCCTTGTTGGTGGGAAGGGTGCCCGCGTGCGCCCCAGTGGGCACGGCTGGACCAGGGCTTCTCCCTGGTCAGCTGGCCCGGGAGCCCGCAGCTCTGCGGAGTGGAAACATGGGTCCAGGTACATGGCTAAACACTATGACAGAGAAAATATCTATGTGATTCTTGCCAGCGAAGCTCTGCATGGCAAAGGATTCACTCTGGACCAAATTGAGCCACGGTTTGGAGCACCTTGAAAAGACAAAGAGCCACGGTGGATAAGAAACCCTTGATTCTGATCCTCTTAGTCTTTTTGTTCATGCTAACAGTTGGAAAAGGGCCAGATTCATCATCCAGGTTCTCTCTTCACCCCTAGAATAACCTGGCAAGAGGGGGAACTGAAGCCAGGAGCTGTAGACATTACACTGTAGATGTTGGCGAATCAGACCCAGGTTTGTCTGACTCTCACGTTTAGGGTTCACAGGTTTTCCTGTGTCGCCCACTTCAAGATTCACTTCTGCATAGTGCTGAGAGTCAGTACGTGTTGATTGGTTTCCTCTTTGCACCCAGCATTCTGTGTGGTTAGGAAATTACGACCAGGCTGGCTGGGTCTCCACTACTACTGATTAGCTATGCAACTCCTTTGTGCCAAATAAGGATCTGCAAAACGGGAATAATCATAGCTACCCCTCTCTCTTAATCATCTAATTTGAACCTAACCTCTGCCCATCAAATTATGCAAATCGTTGCATTTAATACTAAGGACGACTCAAATACTCAAAATTATGCAAATAGAAACTCACGTAAGCTTATTGCAGTGAAGGATCTTACATCATTGCTCAGGCTATGTTAAGTGCTCAGGTAATGGTCATATAAACCTGTCCGTGTTGCTCCTCAAGGTGCTCAAGAGTTGTGATGTGCTGTGGGTGGCCATTTCCTGTTATCTGCACAGGTCCATGGAGTGATAGTCAGAGCCAGTACTCTGGAGTTAAACTCCTAGTTCAAACTGGTTCAGCGACACTGAGCAAGTTTCCAGACTTGCCTGTTTTGCAGTTTCAAATTGGCTTGCAAGAGCCATTTGCTAAATATTCTGGAAATCTGGGAACTAAGCCATATGGATTCTAAACCATAGGTAGTTTAAAATGAGCTATGGTGGGCTTTTTACATAATGGAAATCGGCAAATGCTGCAATCAAGGGTTGACCTGCATCAGTTTCTTCATCTGTAAAGTGGGTTTCCTAGAGTCGTGGTCCTAACTACTCTAAAACATGAGAAGCCCGTGGTACAATGTGTGGCATGGAATAAACGTGGAACCATTAAATCACAGGAGATACATGATTTGGGGTGATTTTACATGTGGCCAGGTTGTACCCCAACAAGACTGAAGGCAGATTTAGGAACGTCTGTGGTGAGTACCTGCTTCAGAGCGACAGATTTTAAGCTCAGTGGGATGGGTTATATCACTGATAGAAAGGACAGCTGCTGAACATCCTGAGTTGGGTCCTGGATGCTTAAATTCTGTGGAAGTTTTTGTCTAAAGTCTGCCTCCTTTGTATGAAAAGACACAGCCTCCTGCCAGTTTCATCCCTGTCACCAGGCAGCAGGAGGAGCCAAGTGAAAGGAGAAATGAGGGCCCATAGATGGAGGTACCAGGAAGCCATCCAAGTGGGAGAAGGACCCTGTACTGATGGGAAATGGGGTGATTTTAATTTTAATGTAATTTTGTGATGAAACTTAGAGCCTCGTGCATGTTAGGTGAGCGGTTCACCAATGAGCCATGTTCTTAGCTAGATTGTTTTTCATCAGGAAGTTCTGTTTCAGGCCCCACAAAAGCTGAATCCACCCTGGGAGGCCCCAGATTTGGCTCTAGATCTACTGCTGCCTCCCTAAGCACCTGCTGTGTTACTTTTTTTAAAAATTTGTTTTGTTTTATTTTTTGCTCTTTTGCAAAATCTCATTGGAGATGATGTCATTAAACTGAGTTTTGCGTTCTTAACTTCCACTCCCACGGTTTTAACCGAGATTGTCTTAGTTTTCTGAGGTTTCTCAAAGTGTATTTCACCAGCCAAATTGGGGTGAAAGGGATTTGATAAATGTTAACTTCCTCAGCCTTACCCTAGACCACCAATCTGGTTGGGGGGGCTGCCTTTTTTTTTTTTTTTTTAACCTCACTGTGTAGTGCAGGTTGGTCTTGAAAACACTATGTAACCCACGTAGGCCTTGAATTTGAGGTAATCCTCCTGCCTCAGCTTCCTGAGGGTTAGGATTGCAGGCTTGTGCTACTACGCCCAGCACGCATTTTTAACTAGTTGATTTTTATGTTACTGAAATGTAGGGCTCCCTCAAGGGATTTCGCTCATTTTCCCTGTCCCCCACAGTAATTTCCATTTTTTGATGATAGCTGGGATGTGCCCATTTGAAAAGCAATTTCAAAGCTACCCTCTGGCCCACAGCTGGACTAAGGGCTCATAATGTCGGAGAAGCCCTCACCCTGCCAGCCAGGCCACCCAGGCCTGTTACACATTATTCCATTAAGCCCTTGGGAACAGTTTCAGATTTATAGCTGGGCTTAAGTTTTTATTTTTAAGATGACAGTCTACATAGCAATTTAATGTCTTTGTTGGAACAGTCCAGCAATGGAGCGTTTTGGCAGCGGGGAATTTTCCCTACGGAACCTCATTGGCTGGGCTGGGGGCTTAAGGAAAATGAGGTTGAGCCTGGCCTGCAGACACAGAGGGCAAGGTGTGGTGTCGTTTTGTACAAGTCAGCCCAGGAGTGTGCCGAGTGTGGGTCCCACCCTGATCTCCAACCCCGAAGCCAGTGGGTGTGAGGCACTAATGGTGCTTTATTGGCCACCAGGGTTCTGTATTTGATCTGTGTCTCCTTTCCTCACTGGTAAGAAACTTGGACACCTAGGCAGGTTCCTTGCTGGGCCATTCCCTGTGGCTTCCTGGGTGAACAAGCTACTTCCCCTGGTTGAGTCATCCCCTCGGCCCCGACACCGGCTCTGGAAACGTGCTGTTTAAACTGTACTAAATATACTCTCACGAGTTTCTTCTGCTTCCCCCAGATAGCAGGCCATTGCAGCAGACCCAGGATGGCAGTGGGGGCAGAGGGGGCCCAGGCAGGCAGCAGCAGCAGCCTCTTGATAAGAGCTGTCAGGAGGTATTTGCTGGAGTAAAACAGTCCCTTGCAGGCGTCGAGGGACAAATTTTCCTTCCAGGCCAGTTGCCATGTCAAGGGCCTGCCAAGTGCTCAGGGCAGCCTGGTGCTCAGAGACCCCTGATATGGCCTGCCTTCTCCCCCAGGCCCCTTCCTCCTGCTTCCCACTCTGCTCCTGGGGGGCTGGTGCTAGCACCTCTATGTCTGTTTCCCCCAGAGTGTCTGTCTTCTGTCTGTTCCAAAGTCTAGTTTTCCTTGCATCAGGCACTGCTGGCCCTGTGTTCTCTGCACCTGAATGTCCCAGGATGAGGGAACAAATCAAGTTCCCGCCAAGCTTTGGAGGCCCCTCAGGGGCAAAGACTCATCCAGAGCCACCGATGCTAGAAGGGGCAGAGAACTAGTGTCCTGGACCCAAGTCCAGGGCCACCTGCATACAGCATCCACTGAGTCGCCTTGTTCAAATATATGTAGAGAATGAATATGGAGGTGACAGCTTCCTCTCTTCCTCTCTCCCTTCTTGGAAGTCCAAGTCTCATCTTCTCAGTTCACAGTAAGTTCCATAACTAAAAGGGCATGGGCCTTCCTTTTTTATATCTGTTATTCTCTTTTCTTCCTAGCTTTACCTACAGCTGCTGCAGCCCTTCCACTTTCTTGCTTGCTTCTTTAAAGCAGCTGTTCACCTTTCTGTGTCTCAGTTTCCTCATCTATAAAGTGGGCCCAACGATGGGACCAACCTCCAAGTAGTATCGTTGTGAGGCTTAGAGGATTGTAGTAAGTGCTCAGTAAAAATCTATTTTTATTTCTTTCTGTGCCTTCTGGAAACCCCCCCCCCCCAGCACACAATAAGCAGCTTAGCTCACTCCTCAGAAAGTATTGATCACCATAAATTATATACGTGAGTGCCAGACACAGGGTTGGCCCTGAGGAAGACATATTCCCTGATCCTAAGAAATGTCCTTTCTGCCTCACTGATATGTGGAAAAAGGCACTTCCTTTTGAAAATTTAACTATGCATGCATGTCCAGTGCCCTACCCCTGAACTGCACCCGGGTCCCAGAGTCACTCAGGTTGACTTGAGGCGGAGGAGGGAGAAGGAAGCTGAGAGGGCAGGGGAGGACACATTTATGCATAAATGTCAGGCCCCAGAGGAAGTGCTGGGAAGTGAAGAAAATCAATGGCAGGGTCTTCATTTTCAGCCCAAGGAGTGGGCCTCTGGGTCATTTTCTTTTTTTCTGGGCTTTTGCCTAGAAAGTGTGGATTCTTGGGAGGCTGCAAATAACATTTCGGCATTCTTATTTCCTTCCCTCTAGTAGTACTGGAAACGAGTGGCCATCTGTTGTTTAGTCCACTCAAAAGAGGATGTTGAGGCTTGTTTTTTCTTCAGACCAAGGGTGCTCAGGAGCCCTGTAGCCCTAGCCTTTCTCGCTCAAGACTGCTCTGAGGCAGCAGCGGAATTCTGGTCTGCGTGGACCTTCCTGGG